CCTCATATGTGGCAGAGGATTGATCTCCCAAAATATATAATGAACTCAAGAAACTATCAAAATACCTAAAAATCCAATTAAAATGGATTATTATTATCTAGACAGAGAATTCTCAACATAAGAATTGCAAATGGCTGGAAGATACTTAAGGAATTGTTCAACATCTTTTGCCATCAGAGAAATGCAAATCAAAACCACTAATGATAGCTTATGTTAGAGAGAATGAGGAGTAAGGAGAGCACTTTTTCATTGCTGGTAGGAGTGCAAACTTGTACAACCACTTTGGAAATCAGTATGGCAGTTTCTCAGAAAATTGGGAATCAATCTACCTCAAGATCCAGCAATACTGCTTTTGGGCATATACCCAAAAGATGCACAGTCATACCAAAAGGACATCTGCTAGACTGTGTTCATAACAGCATTATTTATAGTAGCCAGAACCTGGACACATCCTAAGTGCCCCATATCTGAAAAATGAATAAAGAAAATGTGGTATATTTGCACAATGGAGTACTGTTCAGCAGTAAAAAAAAAAAAAAAAAAAAAAAAAAAAAAAAAAANACAAAAAACAAAAAACAAAAAACTGACATCTTGAAATCTGTAGGCAAATGGATAGAACTAGAAAAACAAAACAAAACAAAACAAAACAACAAAAAAAAAAACAACAAAACCTGAGTGAGGGAACCCAGACCTAGAAAGACAAACATGGTCTGTACTCACTCTTTTTGTTTTGTTTTGTTTGTTTGTTTTGTTTTTCGAGACAGGGTTTCTCTGTAGCCTTGGTGTCTGTCCTGGAACTCACTTAGTAGACCAGCTGGCCTCAAACTCATGGAGATCTGCCCGTCTCTGTCTCTCAAATTCTGGGATTAAAGGCGTGCACCACCACAGCCTGGCTGCTTTTTTGTTTTTGTTTTTGTGTTTTGTACTCACTCATAAGTGAATATTAGATGTAAAGCAGAGGGTAACCAGATGTAGTGATATTTCATTTGTATTTAAATAAATAAAGCTTGCCTGAAGTTCAGAGTGTAAAACAGCTACTCTAATTGCCTTACAAACCAGGCACTGGTGACACACACCTTTAATCCCAGGAGCCATGGTCATTTGCCATAGAAACTGGGTGGTAGTGGTGCAGGCCTTTATTCCTAGCACTAAAGAAGAATATAATACAGGAGAAGATAGCTCTCACACAGTCTCACTGTGAGATTCCTGGAGGCAGGATTGCTATTTTGGACTGGGGCAGAGGTAAGAGCCAGTGGCTGGCTATTTTGTCTTTCTAATCTTCAGACTGAACCCCAATTTCTGTCTCTGAGTTTTCACTAATCGTGCTACAATTAGCATATAGTCCATTACCCTGGAGAGGCTAGGGAACAAGGAGGACCCTAAGAGAGACATACATGGATTCCCTTGGGAAGGGGAATTAGACAAGATCTCCTGAGAAAATTGGGGGGGGGTTAGAAGGGGAAGGAGAGGGGAGAAGTGGAGGGAACAGGAGAATATGAGGGAACAGGATGGTTAAGATGGAAAAAAAAGACGGAGAGGGAGAGCAAGGAAAGAAATATCTTGATTAAGGGAGCCATACTGGAGCTAGCGAGAAAACTGACACTGGGAAAATTCTCAGGAATCCACAAGAAAGACCCCAGACAAGACCCTAAGCAAAAGTGAGGAGTGTGCCTGAACTGGCCTTCCCCTATAACCAGGTTGATGACTACCTTAACTGTTATCATAAAACTTTAATCCAGCAACTGATGGAAGCAGATGCAGATATCCAGTTAAGCACTGGGCTGAGCTTCTGGAGACCAGACCAAGAGAGGAGGAGCAATAATATTAGCAAAGGGGTCATGACCATAATGGGAATATCCGCAAAACAGCTGACTTGAACTGATGAGAGCTCACTGACTCTGGATTGATAGTGGGAGAATCTTCATAGACCTATACTAGGCCCTCTGAGTGTACAGGAGAATTATGTGGCTTGAGGCCATTGGCAATGGGACCGAGATTTATCCCTAGTGCTTGAACTGGATTTTTGGAGCCCATTCATTCTGGAGGGATACCTTGCTCAGCCTAATAATAACTTATTCATATTTTCTTAAATATCAGATTCTCTCCATACAGATTATCTTCTCTGTTAAGAAATACAAAATAATCTTTGCACTGTTTTAGTAGTCTTTCTGTTTCTAGTAAGTTGACTTTAGGTAAACATTATGTGCATATAAGTCAATGCAATGAGAACTTCATTATGTATTTCACTACAGACTATATGAAATATGAATATAATTACAAGCATGTCTATCAGTAACTCACACCTAGAGTTACTGTAGGTGTTCCTGTAGAGAAAGTAAAAATGTGGTTTTCTTTAACAGTGGAGAAATGGAAGCAGAGGTGATACCCAGTACACTGTCTCTGCCTTTTCCCCAGATAACATGTTTACTTCCTATTGCCTTTGCATCTGTGTGCATGCTGCCTTGCTTCCTGCCATGATGAAAATGGACTAAACTTCTGAACTATAAGTGAGCCACTCCAACTAAATATTTTCCTTTATAAGAGTTCCCCTGATAATGGTGTCTCTTCACAGCAATACAAACTCCAAGACTATTGTCTTTACAAAAAATATGTAAGATACAAAAAACATAAAAATTACATGTATTAATGGGGTTTTGTGTAACATATCCATACATGTATACATTGTGTAATGACTAAATAAGGTTAAACATCTATATAGCCAAACTTTAATTTTTGGGAGAGCTGTGGTACTGGAATCAATTACTGATTAAGTCTGTAGGACAGGTCTTCATACTTAGAAAATTCTTTCCTAGGAAAAGTTAAAGCACTATCAGTAGAAACTAATAGTCTTAAGGTTTACAATTTAATTGAACCAACAAACACATCACCTGAAAGGGACTGAAAAATACGGCTTCTGACAGTTGGGTTCAATGAGATGCTATGGATTTAAGTTACTAATCCTGGAAGAAGTCCAAACTGCATGAAAAAATCAATTTCACAAACCTACATTTGAGAATTTGTTTGAAAGTCTTGTAGCCTAGTGAAGTAGAAAAGCCATCTTACATTTAAACTGTGTCACTCCTTCCAAAGGAAAAACAGCTCTTCCTTTCTATAAACACTAACTTTCTTTGGCATTGTAGAACTGACACAGCTTGTAGGAAGGAGCTAAGAAAATACTACGCATGGATCTCACTTCTTGCAAAGTGGAACACTGGTACTAAAAGCTGTTGTTTTAGAGGCAATTAGGCAAATAAGACGCCTAGCAAGATTTCAGAACTGAAGCAGTGCAAGAAGTTCCTTATCTGCAATGAGATTTTGCACTAAAGCAAGGACTAGCTGCTACACACAGATACACCATCTTTTGTACTATCCTTCATCCCTTTGCCATTGGATAGAATATAATGGAATAAGATGATGAGAACTATGATCTTGGATTTCTGTTTACTCCTTTTGAAAGGAAAGCATATGAAAAAGTAGGTTCTACCACTCATCCAAAAAGAAACTCAGTATTTTTAGAAACTCTGAATCATGCACTAAGGAGAAAGCAAGATAATCTTTTTGTTGCAAATGACTACTTCAAGAAATATCTTCACCCCATCAATTCCACAACTTAACCAAACAGAGGTGAAGAAAAATATTTAATAAATATGTTTGGACTTTTATTTTGAAATTCATTAAATGTACTTGATTAAAGAAACTCCTGAGTTAGGTGTAATTATAAATTGAATTAATTCCATATTGGAGCCTGATAGAACACATAATGCAGGAAAATATAATACAATATTATGGTAAAACTATATTAACAAAATGATTGACAGTATTTGACTTAATTTGGGAAAATGATACTATGTTAAAGTTAACAGAGAACTTGTTTCTTTAGAAAATTATCAGAAATAGGGCTTTCAGTTAAGAGCACTGGGTATTCTTGAAGAGGACCTGGGTTTGATTCTCAGAACCCATATGGTGGCTTACAAACATTCATAACTCCAATTTCAGGGGCTTCAAAGACCTCTCCTGACTTCCGGAAACACTCAGGCATACTATGGTACACTTATATACACTTAGATAAAACATTAATACATATAAAATAAGATAAATATTAACTTTTATCAGATATACATTTATTTTAAAAACTCATTAAAGCTGGGCACGGTCACTCATGATTGCAGTCCCAGCGTACAGGAAGCTTAAACAGGAGGATCATCATGAGCTAGAGGCCAGCATGCGACACACAGTGAGTTCTAGGCCAGCTGGGATTACTGACTGTCTCAAAAACTTTCTTGTTATTAAAAAAGCAAAAGCTTGCTAAATTCACCACTAATCATTTTTAAGAACTCTATATATTTCTGGATTCCCCATAAGCAAAGAGAGATTATACACCCATGTTCTAGTTTCCTTTTTTAATTCCTTTTCTCTTTACTACTGTTGAGTAAGGGCCATGAGGAGACGGAATGAATCTATAAGGCATATCCCCTGGTTGAAGAATACCAAAAATAACTCCATGCCATACCATATGTGGTAGCAGAAAAGAACAAGATCTTGGATCCTCAAAACTTTTGGCTTTTCTTCAAATACATTATAACCTGACTCATAATTCTTTTAAGTAAACTGCATTCTTGGCTAGCTTAGCAGCAGTAATTGTTGGATATATACTAAATATAGAATTTTGTATTTAGGATAAATGAGAAATTATATTGTTAGTTTTTCTGAAAATATCAAATTGGCTTATTCTACAGAGAAAATGACTATTATAGGTACGAACAAGAAATGTCTACTATCAGACTTTAGATTAGAAGGGTCCAAATTCAGATGTTTTAGTACCTAAGAAATTTATTAAAAATAAAAATGCCTGAGACTTTAAAGCCTTAGATCAAAATCTGCATTTCCACTAACCCTCCTTATACTGAATTACGGTTACTCTATGTTGATAAGGCTTGAGAACCGCTGCTCTCAGGGCATGTTACAAACTATCATTATTCCTGACATGTATTATTACTCACGTGTAAACTTTAAGAACAAAATCTTTTTCTTCTTTTAATTCTGTAAGTGACTGCAGAACATCCAAAATGCTTAGAACTGCACAGCCATACGGCCGCCTGTAGTGCAGGTGAGCAGGACCCTTTTTGGAGTCATTCAGGAGCATTCGACCTTGGGGATCGCAGAAAACACCAATTAGGCAGAGAACGACAACACTCTTCTCTAGTACCTTCTAATTATCAGCCAGTGACACCAGAGCTACAGGTCCTAAAAGATTCCCAAAGATGAATAAAGAGCTAAAGTGAGTCATCTAAGGATATCTGTAAGGAAGAACACCAAATCAGCCTCTGGCCAAAGTCCTTTTTCTGTGTCACATTTGGTCAATTAATCCCAACAGTACATTTATTAATCAAATGAAAATAAGAATGACTTGATGAATTTCTTAAAAAATGTCAGTGAACTGATAAGATTTAAACTTGATGGCTATACTACTAATAAAATTTCAGTATTTTTAGCTGCTCTTATAAACCATATATTCATAGGTATAAAGGTTCTCAACTAGAAGTTCTTCCTCTAACCAAATTCTAATGCCAGAGATGCTGATGAACCATTGTGGTGGTGAGAGAAATCGCGAGCTATGGATTGCTGCTTATTCCTCAGAGACAGCAAGGCTGTGCCAACAGTGATAAAGCTCTCGCAAAAAATGTGATTTCAACAGATGCTTTATGAAGTAAGGCAAAACAGCTGTTATATTATCAAAGGATTCAACATATTTTTGACAAAATTATACACTATATTCTAGAATTTAGACTATGAAAGAAGACTTAGTTCTATCACCCAAACCTGAAATATGTATGGCCAATAAAACAATGGAACAGCAGTGCAAGGTCACTTTCTTTCATCTCAGTTTGAGTAGAAATGAGAAGCTACTTATCTTCTGCACTGGCAACATTAACTCTAATTTTGTGGGAAATGGCACGATTGCATAGTTTCGGAAAGAAACTAAAGCAAGGGGCATGTAACACTTGTTCAATTGGCATTCTAGTAACTCTGTAAGAACTTTAGAGGAAAAAAAACACATACAGAAGCAGGCAATGTTACAGGGAGAATATTAAAAAAAATCAGACCACTTAAAATACAAAATTTGGGCCCGAATTCAAAGAGGGAACAGAAGATTTGAAATGGGGAAAACATGTATTTATTTGCATCAAACCCAGCTACTGCAGCACCTAAGATTAAAGGCAAAGCAAAGCAAACCACAGCAAACCAAAAAAAGAGGCTAGACTCTAATCCTGATAAAGTTCAGATGTATACTTTTCCTAAGTTTGACCAGTGTTAATCATGAGAACAGCTAAAGTGAACAATACCTATTCGGATCACATGGGCCACTATGTATAAATCTCTCTTCATGTCTTTGCTGCTCAGATCCTAAGAAAAGAAAAAGAATGAATAAATAAATCTAGGCAAATAATGCACAGAAAATGATGATAAATTTCATTTCATTTGAACTTCAAAGCAGTTTCCTTTTAATATATATTAAAGGGGGAGAAGGGAGATTAGAGAACATAACATTTAATACATACAATAAGATTTATACAGTGGAGAGGCCCTATTACTGAAAATACTACTTTGTCATTCAACAATGAAAGCCTGAACTGGTGCTCAGCTAGAAGTTTAACCCCTACTGACTACCTCATGATGCTGGAGGAAAAAAGTAATCACCAATATCAACCAGGTACAAAACCTATGATGTAAAACAGCAAGCTGCCTGCAAGATTAATTGGTACAATAGGGGCACAAATGTTAGGAGTAATAAACTACTTTATGATTGAATTTAAGACACATTTCATGAGATAGATTTCACACTAGACAGTGTTCAAATGACCAGGAACCTGAGACTAGAAAAGTCGTGGATTCTAGGGGGAAAACCTATTACTATTATTCTACTAAAGGAACACAGCAATAAAATTATTCCTAATGACATACTGCTATGCCCATAGATCAATGCCTTTCTCAACCCTCATCAGAGAAGTTTCTTCTTGCAGAAGATGGGAAGTGACACAGAGCCCCAAAACTGGACAGTGTGCAGAGAATGAGATACATTGGAGGACTCAGTCCTAACTGGGAAGTCTTCATCAAGCCCTTCACCTCAAGGCTCAGGGATCTACGCCAAAGAGAAGAAGGAAAGATTGTAAGAGCCAGGCATGGTAGATGACTCCAAGGAACAGTATTTTCTAAACACAATAGAACTGACAAAGACTACAACAATACCTACAAAACCTGCACAGGTTCAAACCATACAAAATCACAGAAGGGGAAGTGGACATGAAGTTTCACTTTGAACTAAGAAACTATTTGCAGCTGAAACCTGCTAGAGAAGAGAAAATCAGTTTACTTCAATGGAGTATCGCTGTGTATACAACCACCCTCCAGAGCAGGTCCCATGCCCAGTAGTAGCTGGCCAACACAAAATAGACTGTGTGTGTGTAGAGAGAGAGGATTTTTCGTTCATTATATTTGTCTTACTGTTTTTTAAAATTTTTCTTCTGTCTCTCTTTTTTTTTTTTTTTGAGAGGGAAAGAATGTGAGTTGGGTGGGTAGCAAGGTTGGGAGGATCTCGAGGATGCCTAGGGGAGGGAAAATATATTCAAAATACATTGCATAAGACTTATTAAAATAAAAATTGTTAAAATATATAATGAAAACTTGAATATTATATTCCTTTGAAATTTTATTTTATTGATAGTATTCTTCTAGCTCTCATTTAGATCACCTAATAAATCAAGTATCTACAAAAGTTTCAGAATGGAATTCATATTGTTTTCACCCATGGTTATTCTGTCAGCATGCAAAGACATTTTATAATGCAAGAAATAAATGTTCAGTGCAATAAAAATGTAGCAAAACATTAAAATCTCATTAATGATGAATACACTAAAATTTTATTCTGTACTAACTTTATATTCATCCCACTGTCCACAAATCATTATTACACACTTGCCACATTTCCTACAAATGAGATTAATTTGGTCTTAGTGAAATCTTGATAAAAAGACTTGGTTCTAAATTTAGATATTTATTGTTATTATCTGTACCAAGTTATAAGACTGAAAATGTTTTATCTTGTTTTTCCATTATTTATGAAAAGGTGCCGTGTGTCATGTCATGCATATGGAGGTCAGAGGACAACTTACACAAATCAGTTTTCTCCACCATGTGGGAACTAGAATCAAACTCAGGTCATCAGGCTTGGCAACATAGAGCCACCATGTGGGAACTAGAATCAAACTCAGGTCATCAGGCTTGGCAACATAGAGCCATCTTACTGGCCCTAAAATAATTTTATTGGAAAATTTAAAAAGGTTCTTTTAAGTAAACAAATATAATCCCAAATCATAAACTTTCAAGCTGAAAAGTTACAAAAATCTGTTTTAACATATTTATATTTAGAATCCATTGTAAAGTAACACACTTGCTATTTTTTTATTTAGAACGTTACACCAGGAATAGTAAAACTTCCATATATATTTCATATATACTATCCATCCATCCATCCATCCATCCATCCATCCATCCATCCATCCATCGTCTATGAAGTTTCAGATTTGTCATGAGGTTATCCACTTGCAGGTTGCTCTGTCATTATGGTGATTTAGTGGTGTCTGATGGTGTGACCTTTTTTTTCATGAGACAGGTTTTCCTATTTTCACTTCTATGAAGGAGTCCATCAGCTCCATTTTCTGTTCATCTTTCATATTTTGCTTGGTTTCACATGCATGTCTCTTTTAATAAGGACAGAAAAAAAAGTATCTATGATTTTGAGTTAGCTCATAAATGCAGAGTCACCATGTTCCTTGATTTATACCCTTTTATTGGACTACAATTAAGGGGAAGCAAGGAAGTAACCTACGGTACAAAATGTAAGGAGGCTCTCATTCTTGAATCCTGTGTGCTGCTTATCTTACTCTAGTCCAGCTCTGTCCTGCTGAGTAACTCTGAATAGAAAAACCAGGGACACATGAAAAGGTAATACAGAAAGGTCAAACTGTACTTCTGGATCCTAAATGGTCACAATATATTGCCAAGTTCTTAGAAAATAGCAACAATGAAATAAGTTACAAAAGTTTATTTAAAAAAATAGTATCTCTGGCATCACAAAGATAAACTTTTACATAAAAGTTATCTTTTAATATTGAATGGATGTATTGAACTCCATTTTGTACATTTCTCTAATTTTAAAATGGAATTTTAGGGGATGGAGAGATGGCTCAGTGGAATTTGTGGTTGAGAACTCTGTTCTTTGTAAGAACAGAGTTAAGTTCCCAGCATCTACACAGTGACTTACAAACATAAGAAACTCCAGTTCCAGGGAATCGAATGCTCTCTTCTAATCTCCACAGGCACTAGGCTCGCACATGGTGCACATATGTATTGTGAAAAACACCCACACACATAATATAAATCTAAAAGAAGTTTAATAAAAATGAAAATGAAATTTTAAATATTTTCAAGTTAACACTGTAATAAGTTATACAATAACCAAGTGGTGGTGGTGCATGCGTTTAATCCCAGCACTTGGGAGGCAGAGGCAAATAGATCTCTATGAATTTGAGGCCAGCTTGGTCTATAGAGTGAGTATCAAGTTAGCCAGGACTGTTACACAGAAAAATCCTGCCTTGGAAAGACAAAAAAAAAAGATATACAATAAATAATAGAAATTGAAAAAAAAAACATTTTCAAGTATTTTATGCTCATTCTTAAAGTTTATATATTTCCTGAAGGTTTGGTACATTTTCAAATAATATAGTTCCATCTACATAGCTAAACTAGTGTTAGTTAACCTGCACTTCAAAATGTCTAGCATCACTATCAACAGTGCTCCAGTGGACTGCCACATAACCAAGAGTATATTAGGCAGTACAAATTGGACTCAATTTTTTTAATGAGGAACAAAGTTGGGAGAGGATGGAAAGGGCATGAATATGGAGGAGTTCAAGAAAGGGGATGATTATGATAAAAAATGTACAAAATTCTCAAGGAATTTATAAAAATTTTTATTTAAAACCTTGTAAATACTCCTCCAATAAAGCTGGGAAACTTTAAAAAGTCCAGGGCTGTAGTACAAAGGGAACCACCCAGTAGCACACTAACAGCTTGTGCCTTCCCACTGTGGCAGAGAGGGGCACACCATGAGTATTACACACACTTTTATTTACACAGGTGATGCTTCAGCTTTGGCCTCTTGACTCAGATATATAAATAAAGTGCTAAATAAAAATTTTGACTTACTATAATTACATTCAAAGTCTCCATAATTAAGTTAATTTTTTAAGAGCATTCATATCTAAGAATTCAATAGCTTACTTATACACGTAGCTCTTTCAAATCTAAACAACAGTCACTAACAATTTCTCTTGTTTTAGTAGAAAATAAGGAGGATATCAAGATCTAGAAAAGCCTCTTTCTAACTAAGACATCCTCTTTCTGCTTTAGAAATGACGTCGGTCAGGCACTCTCACTTCAAAGCTCTCTGCTCACATAAATCCCCTTCCCTGTAATCTTGATTCTTTCTTCTGTTTGGTGTTGAATAGAGTACACTGTTCTTTCTAGATCAGCCATTTTAATTTAATTCCCTCAATAATTGCCACGGGGTTGCTTTTCCTATTCTTTCTTCTTACATTATCTCCCAAGGTTTCAATGATGAGCTCAGTCATGGACAAAATATTATTTGAGCTTAGTTAGGTTTGAAAACATTCCTATACAGCTGAAACATTCTTTTCTACATAGAGAATATTTTCAGTGAGAGCTATTCCACTGAGAGTAGTTTCTTATTCTGTAGTACCATCATCTGACATTTTGACAGATTAAATTGTAGTAAATGATCTGAAGTCAGGTGAAGAAACATAATTTTAGCTCTCCAATAAAGTCACATATTAGATCTTCAGATAAATACTATTTTCCCTTAAGAGGCATCAAATCAACTTTAAGATAGCTCTCTGCCTACCAGTCATGGGCCACATGCAAGGCCAAGAACATCGTGGAACTATCACACCTTCGTAAGCTCATGAGGATTTCTGTTTTGCTCTATTTTGTTTTTGCTAGCATCTTGCTAATCCTCTAGCATCTGCCTCCTAACTAGCTAGTTGTAACAGACATAAGCAAACTATGCCTAGCCAATGAATTTGATATATCTTAACTATCACTGAAATAGGTCAAAGCATTCACAAGGATCCAAGAACTTTAAATTGTGATATATTCTTGTTTTTTCTTCAATAAATTAATTAAATAAAGGTGGATAGTTGTTACTTAGTAAAAATAAATAAAGTTGATTTGGATAACACAAGGGCATTGTAGAATTACGAGATCAAATTTTTAATAAGCAGATTTGCCAAGCCTTCTGAGATGAGATGATAGCTTCATGAGTGGAGACCAAGAGCAATAACATAGTTACTTAGAAAAGTGTAAAGTACAGATGAGAGTAGAACATTTCCTCCATTTGGTATTATAAAGAGGACAGGTTAGTTTACATGAACTTACTAGATGGCTCCTAAACTATAGGTCTAGTGGATGCCTTGGACATCAAAGATTTTATATGAAATAGCATATAAAATCTACATTAGGTACCTGATTTTTTAAATAAAATTTCAATTAAAGACCACTGCTAACTAAAGGTCTCTACAAGTATTTCATTAAAACTTGATGGAAACATAAATCAATTCCTATTCTCACCAGTGGAGGTGGGAGATAAGAATAGATGTTTGTTTCCAGAGTGACAATATTTACATAGCAGGCCCTTGATTAAAGTTGGCACACAAAGGGGGAAGAGTATTTGCACATACTGTAAAAAGGGCACACATTCGTTCTATCTTCTCTGGGTTCCTTGGTCCACCATTCTTGTTCAGTCTCACCAGAAACCGTTCACTGAAATGTAGGAAAGAGAGAGACAGAAAATGTAATGAAACAAATTAAAAAGGCATATACAGAAAAATCCCTAAAGGCTTATGAAACACCTTATTGTGATAGGCAAAGATTAAAACCACACGCACTGGTAAAATACCTTACTTGTTGTGCCAAACAATTTGCAATGCATATATGCTGTTGTTTATTGATTAATTGTGGCTGTGTCTAGTCTCTCTCAAGTATGAGTTCTTGAAAGTAGCAATGAGTTTATACTCCTCCATAAGTCTCGAGGTTGGAGTCCAACTCTACACCTATTGTAGCAAATATAATCTCTAATATGAACAGATAATTGTGAAAATATGTATAATACTAGACCTAAAGGAAGTTATTCAGTTTATATCTTTCTACATATATAACTCCAGGGAAGTATTTGAGGACTTTAACTACTATATACTATTTTTCAAACTTTACCAAAGTCTTTATAAGAATTTTCCTTCTTGCTGGAATGAAAATTTAACAGACACTAAATATTTTATTCTCAATTCATACAGACCATTCTTGTAAGAAATTACAGACTAAAACAAATCAGAAACAGTATTTGAAATATTTGGAAAAATATTCCTTTGCTCTCTAATCTTCCCATCCCAGCTCAACATCTCCTTCCTGCCACCCCCCCCCCAGGCTCCTTGCCAACTGTAACAGTAACACTAAGCCACAGTGAAAAATCTATGTTATCATAAAGGAAACGTTCTTTATATGCCCAGTTACACTCATTAAATGTCTTTGAGAGTAACAAAAGAATGGTATGAAAATATTACACTTAGAATAATAAGATGCATCCTAGCTTTTTATATATTTGTTTGTTCACCAAGTAAATAGAATTTTCTATGATGCTCTATGTGCTAAACAAACATGGGAATACAAATGTGAACAAGATATATACAAGATACTTTTTAGTCCTTGTAGATAGTGAGATGTGCATAACCAAATCTCAAAAGATTTAGGTCAGATATAAAGTTTAGATTCTTCATTTGAAGGAGTAAATGAGATTAAGAATGGAATTCATATAGAACGAGAAGAAGCTTTGATCAGAATCCTAAAGGTACTGAGATTTAAAAAACAGGCAAAAGAAAAACTAACAACAGAAAAACATAGGGACAAACAACAACACAGAAGAAAAGTACAATGGGATACGGTTTCAGTCAAGTCCATAGAGAATCACCTTAGCTAAGGACAAAATTTAGAATAGCAAGATGAGTCTGGGAGAGCTGCCTCAGTAAAATGGTAGAGAAGAACAGCTGTGTGAGAAGAATGAGGAAGTTAAAACAGCAAATCTGTAATTCTGAAAGGCATGGTGTAAAACAGAAGTGATGTACTTTTAGTTGCATAGAGATAAGGAAGGTCTTTGTTAAATGAGAAAATAAATCACATGGGTAAAGTCAAATTACTTTCAATAAAAATATCGAGGTAATGCTGGGCGGTGGTGGCGCACGCCTTTAATCCCAGCACTCGGGAAGCAGAGGCAGGTGGATCTCTGTGAGTTCGAGGCCAGCCTGGTCTACAAAGGGAGTTCCAGGACAGGCTCCAAAGCTACAGAGAAACCCTGTCTCGAAAAACCAAAAAAAAAAAAAAAATATATATATCGAGGTAAAAGTTGAGTGGTGGTAGTGCATGCCTTTAATCCCAGCACTCGGGACACAGAGGCAGGTGGATCTCTGTGAGAGTTCAAGGCCAGCTTGGTCTACAAGAACTAGTTCTACCCGGCAATTTTATCTACTTCCCTTAGCCAAGAGGATAACTATATGATTTTCCTTGGGTGGGTTCACCTTCTTATTTAGCTTCTTTAGGTTCACCAGGTATACACTCCGTGACCTTTATTTATGGCTAGAAACCAATTATGAGTGAGTACATCCCATGTTCATCTTTTTGGGTCTGGGTTACCTCGCTCAGGATA